CCAGTCCCAAATACTGTTCTAGCCTGCTTCCATCAGCAACCACAAAAATAACTTTGAGCCTAAATCACTATTAGAAAAAAGAAGCTGTTTTGTTCTGTCTTTGTCGTGATCAGCACCTCGTGTGTGGTAAACACACCTCTATATAGCTTTTCTCTGGTTGTGGATTGTCTTAGCTTGAGGAAACACTAATTTCTTACCTACTTTACTTGGCTGTTTTTTATTCCTTTCTCTAAAAATGACTCTGCCTCTACAGTAGTAAAAGACAGCTCTCCAGTTGCCTTTAATGGACATGGGGTACCGCTGAAGTCAGTGGCAAAATAGACTCATGTGCTCTCTCACTGCAATAGGGAATCTCACACTGTAAAGCCCACACCGTGCCCCTGCAGAGAGGATGCAGCTTCCAGGGATGGCTGTCGCTGGAACTGCGTCTGTGCAGGGGTTCAGCACGGCGTTACCCAGCAATTTCACAAGGTGTTCTGTGTGTTAGCGAGAAGACGAGCACTGACCAGCAAACACAAGGCATCCTAGAAAATGTCATCAGTAGCCGTACAGATAAGAAGGTAACACTTTAATGTCATTATTTCCTATTAAAAATGCCTGGGTGTGACACTCTTTTGCTGTTTGCCACAATTTTTGTCTCACCTCTCTTTTTCCCCTTCAGAAGTACTGTTCCAGCAAATGGGAGAGAAATAACAGCTAGACTGTGCGTGCGATTATTCGCATGCACACATACGCGTTAGCTAAATATGAGAGACGTGGAAGTTGTTTTCTAAGCAGAATTACTTTTCTATTGTCTATGAAAATAACACAATTAGTGTTTCGAGCTCCTGAGAAGATTGTAAATAATATGCAGAGACGGGAAACACGGACAATGGTAGGCAAAAGCCACTTCCATCTCCCAGTGCAGAGTGGACCAAGGTAAAATCCCACTACCAAACTCTTTCAGAATTACTTCAAGGTGTGGAGTCTTGGTTGGCTATTTAGCTGGCGGAACTGAACTAGCTCCCAAACTTATAACAGATGAGGCTTTAACCCAGAAACTTCAGGGTTATAAATGCTTTACAAGTGACAAAAATCCTAACGCTGAGGATTTTGCTGCATTGCCCTGATCTTCTACAGTCAAAACCATTACTGGAATGTAGTCTAGGTTGGGAAGATTGCTCTAATTCCTTCCTAATGGTTGTGTGTCTGAAGACAGGTATTTTTACTGTATATGCAAATTTGCCAAAATATATTGGATACTGAATAAAGGCAGATTTTGAAGAAACAAAGCCCTACTACTTTAAGAGTCTCTCCAATTTGGTTTTAAATACCGTACTGTTTTAAAACAATATCATCTTAGTGATTCAATTAGTCTCTGAAAACACTAAAGGCAGCCTCATGAGGGAAATTAGACAGGGTTTTTATAGCAGAATTAATATGGCAAATCCTCATATCCTGTGGAGTTTTATGTGCTTGTAAAAGTAGAAAAAAAATATAAAAGGTAAACTCGAGTATGTAGAGGAATTACTATGCGGGATCTCATAGGGTCTGGAGTTATTATAGTATACTGAAAGTAATTACTGTTTCATTCCAGTTCAGGAGAGCTTTCTGACCAAACCCAGCCTTATATCTCATGAAAAATTAACAAGAGTAAAGCACGTGCTAAAATTTAAGCATGTCTTTAAGTTCTTTCGTGAATCAGGGCTCTCCCTATATTTAAATGACTAAGGTACAATGCCTGTGCATTGTTTCTCTTTATATTCAAATCTAAGTTGGGGATCCTACAAAGCCAAAGATAACTAGTTTTGAATGTAGGTAACATTCCACATGCATTTCTGTACAAGGACTCATGCAATATTGGCATTAATACAAACTTAACTGTATGTTACAGCTGAAATGCTCACTGACTTCTCCTACTGCCCAGGCATTTCTGCCTAGAAAACTGCTTTTTTAAACTTGGGAGTTTGACCTCATACCCTGTTTTCTTTGTGGCTTCTACTGGTTTCAATGGCTATTTTTCCCACAGAACAACTCTTTTTTTTCCTCTTCCGGGCCTTTTCAAGGTCCCCCTAATTCCCTGAAGGAATTGTTGGGCTCAGCCCTACCCCAGGATGATCCTTGTGCAAACAGATCTCCACTCCCAAGGGAGTGCTGGCAGCCTCAGGTTTGAGATGCGTCACTAGGTGCAGCTCAGGAAGAAGGCCTCAGTGACTCCTTAGCACGCTCCACCAGGAAGAGAATCTTCAAATAACCAAACACTGCTTACGGCAGGAAGAAAGGAACAACCTCTCAACAGCTACCTCAACAACCATCCATCCAAAGGTTCATTCAGTCCTTTGGATCCTGCTTTATCTTGTACAAACTAAACTCATGGATACTGGATGAAAACACATCTCGGACTCCTCTCCCACCATCATCAGCTCTAGCAGTTCAGTCTGCTTATGGATACCAAAGATTGAGGTTTTCCTGGTGGATCTGTGGTGAGTGTCCCCTGCTGAATAGCAAGAGAACTTAGATCTGATTTCAAGGCCGGTCTCTTGGTTTAGCAGAGACACAGAGGAAAGGTGGTGGGACATGCTAACCCTGACTATGACAGGAATGGCCTGTGTCACTGAAGGGACAACACCTCTGAGTCCATCATTTCTAAGAGGCAGGGTCATGGCTACTAGTCAGGGTTCCTGGAAAGGCAGAGACCTGGGGAGGGACTCTCAGATTTCCACCAGCAGAACAGAGGAGAGGGTAAAAGCATGTCAAATTATCTGTCCCACTAAAGCTTTTACTAAGACAAAGCTCTGATGAATAACATTCTTAGCAAACCATGGCCTTCAACATCCTTATGCTTGAAAAGTCATATTTTCTCATGACCAGTGTCTGCAGTAGCACCCACAGAATTAAAGAGCCAAAAATTAGCACCCAGAACCAAATCTGCACCCAGCATACCTCAGCATCTTCTATTAGAGGATCTGAAAGCACTTTACAAACGATAACCAACATCTGGCCTCACAACCCCCAGTGAGGTAGAACAGTATTGTCCCTGTAGGGACAGACAGACGGATTGAGGCACAGGGTTACCAAGAGACCTGCTCCCGCTCAGACACTAAATGTAGCAATGCCAAGGGCTGAATGAAGGTGTCCTGACTACTGCACCTATGCTTTGTCCACACTACCATCCTTTCCCCCATAACCTTCAACAGCAGCCCTTAGCCTTTGAACTAAAACCAGGATTCTATACACAACAGGTGAAACGATCATTTAGCAGTCGTGTAGTCAGAGATTTATTAAATTAAATGAAGTTACTTGTGGGAACAAATGATTTCTTCTGCAAAACTGGGGTGTAAATGACCATGCACTAAGACTACTGGGTGCAAATTTCGTGCATGATGACTGTGACCCCTTGATAATTCCCAATCCTGGCCTCTCTCATGTAAATCTCTTTTTTAAGTTGCATTGTATGTATCATCACATGAACCTCTAAAGATGCAGCCTGCACAGGTTGTTTCATACCAGCAATGCAAGCAAACAAAATGCGGAGTGGCTTTGGGAACAACCCAGCCTTCAAGTAGCGTCAAACATCACAACGTTACAATTCATTCTAATCACAAGGGGTTGCAAGGCAATGGGGAATAGGTGTGTATGTTGAAACAAAGGCAAATAGAGCAACAAAGAAAGATTTGATTGCACAGATTTCATTTAGGTAGAGTTCTGTAATAATCAGTTTCTTCAAAAGCTCATTCCATGAGAAAGGGGGGCAATGCCAGCTAGCCTACGACAAAGCTCCGGCGTAGTAAAAACCACCAGCCCTGCGTGAACAGATGAACTTTGCATTCTGTAGGAGTCATTACCGATTGATAGAAGCAAAACTTTTCTCTAAAAACAGTAAGTTTGTTTTTGTCAGATAGAAGAGTTTCTTAAAATACGAGTTTTTGAACACCACAAAATTCCATTTGTTATATAAGTAGAGAATCTGGCCATAGTTAGGAATACTGAAGTGTAAAAAAAACAGATACGTAGTCTCAAACATTACAAAAACTATCAAAACATTCAATACTTTGAACTGACCTTCCCCTGCGTGTGTCTGTTCTGGCAGTGATGACAAGGTTTCTAAACTGAGCTGTTGTTCTTACTGTTCTGGAGTTGTTGGTTGGTTTTTTTTGTACATTTTTCTGAATGTGTTTTTTAAACAAAAGAAAATTACCAGCTTTTATAAAAAAGAAGGAGCTTGAATCCTTACTCCCAAAACACAGATAAAAGGTTTTCCTTTATAAAAAGTGTATTGATTTTTTGCTATAAAAAGTGACCTATAGGGTGTCAAACCTGAAAACAAATT